TTTGTTTTTCATCTCACTTTCTTAAACATTTAATCTTGAATTTTATTTTTTGATTATTGAATCTTCAGAATTAATATTAAATAAGAATAATAATTATATATAAAATTTATATTTACAATCACGATTAAATCAAATTATATTATTTTATTCAACTTATATTATTCTCTTAAAATTTTTACCAAACTATGTTATTTAAAAAAAATCCAATTTTTTTATTGGTTACCAATTATATAAAATAAAGTATTTCTTGCAAGTGCATGATTAACCAATCATGGCATGACAATAGTTTATACAAGGTCATCAGCTTGCAAATGATGATAGGATTTTTCCTAGAGTACTATTCTACTATTATTACATGGTGGGGTTAAAGTACGACTGTCTAAAGGCGAGGCTTTGTGAGCTGCCACGTTTGAGGGTATCTAACGCAAGTAAAGCTGCAAATCTGAAGGATTTTCTGTGATATCTTTCTTATCCCCCCTCTCTCAGGAAAGGGACTCACGCTTAACAACCCCATGATGACTTTATTAAGGTGTGCTTACCTTTACAAAAAACACTTAACACGCATATTATTTAGCAATGTGGGACATCAGGCCTCCACGAGCACACAAATAGAAGATTATCTCGTGCGTGATTATGCTTTTTCGGGTTCCATGCCACCTTGTGATGCTGTTGATAGGAAACTTCCTCACGGTTGCTTTCGCCACTTGATCAATTATTTAATCAGATTGGGTAAAAAGTGGTAAGAGATATAGTTATTTATTCCTCCTCTCTAAATATTTCGTATTGTGGCTTGGACGAGTTTTAAATTAAATTGCATTTGTGTTGAAATTGATGCTTTTGAATAATTTTTAATGATATTGTTATTGTAGAATATGTTAAAATAATGTAAACAAACAGAAAAAAAAATATTAATTTTCAATCTTTCAAAAAAAATATATTGAAAATTGTCTAAACCATAATGCTAACAAAGCAATCAAAACATATATTAAAAAGACATAACTTATTATATTTGGATGCTTTTCAAAGATATATGGGACATGAGAAAGTATTAGATTTGCGTTTTCTAGTATTTTATGATAATTTTAATATTTTTGTATTAAAAACATTTGAAAAAAATCTTTTAATATATATATTTTTTAAATATTTTGTGATACAATACCAAACACACAATTTAATCTCACATGTACGGTGGTGGTTATGTTTTCTACGGAATTAATATTAAATAAGAATAATAATTATGTATAAAATTGATATTTACAATCACGATTAAATCAAACTGTATTATTTTATTCAACTTATGTTATTCTCTTAAAAGTTTTACCAAACTATGTTATTTAAAAAAAATCCAATTTTTTTATTGGTTACCAATTATATAAAATAAAGTATTTCTTGCAAGTGCATGATTAACCAATCATGGCATGACAATAGTTTATACAAGGTCATCAGCTTGCAAATGATGATAGGATTTTTCCTAGAGTACTATTCTACTATTATTACATGGTGGGGTTAAAGTACGACTGTCTAAAGGCGAGGCTTTGTGAGCTGCCACGTTTGAGGGTATCTAACGCAAGTAAAGCTGCAAATCTGAAGGATTTTCTGTGATATCTTTCTTATCCCCCCTCTCTCAGGAAAGGGACTCACGCTTAACAACCCCATGATGACTTTATTAAGGTGTGCTTACCTTTACAAAAAACACTTAACACGCATATTATTTAGCAATGTGGGACATCAGGCCTCCACGAGCACACAAATAGAAGATTATCTCGTGCGTGATTATGCTTTTTCGGGTTCCATGCCACCTTGTGATGCTGTTGATAGGAAACTTCCTCACGGTTGCTTTCGCCACTTGATCAATTATTTAATCAGATTGGGTAAAAAGTGGTAAGAGATATAGTTATTTATTCCTCCTCTCTAAATATTTCGTATTGTGGCTTGGACGAGTTTTAAATTAAATTGCATTTGTGTTGAAATTGATGCTTTTGAATAATTTTTAATGATATTGTTATTGTAGAATATGTTAAAATAATGTAAACAAACAGAAAAAAAAATATTAATTTTCAATCTTTCAAAAAAAATATATTGAAAATTGTCTAAACCATAATGCTAACAAAGCAATCAAAACATATATTAAAAAGACATAACTTATTATATTTGGATGCTTTTCAAAGATATATGGGACATGAGAAAGTATTAGATTTGCGTTTTCTAGTATTTTATGATAATTTTAATATTTTTGTATTAAAAACATTTGAAAAAAATCTTTTAATATATATATTTTTTAAATATTTTGTGATACAATACCAAACACACAATTTAATCTCACATGTACGGTGGTGGTTATGTTTTCTACGTTTATAATTGCGTTTATGGTTAAATTATAGAATAAGAATTCAAAGAAAAAATCATTGAGAATTTTTTACCAACTTTTGCAACATGGAAAAATTAAATTTATCCCAATGGGGTCCTAAGTAGCTCATTGATATAAAAAATGATGCATTTGCAAAATTAACATGTAATTAAAATATTTTAATTGGCAGTTGCCGAGTAAAGATTGCTTTGCAACATAGAATGTTAGGTTGAGTGAAACACAATGGATTAATCCTGCGAAATAATTTTATTATAGGACAAGAATACTAAACTTGATAGAATAATAGCAGAATCAGTGCGCGCACGGGGCAAGTACAACCATGACGAAACCTCAGTAATTTGAGGTTGGTAGGTGAAATGGCGTTTTGGTTATTTATCATCTATCATGATATTTTTTTTAAATGCAATTCAATTTTGAATTTTCACTGTGTAACTATTATTTATTATTTAATAAAAATATATAAAATGAATAAGAATAAAATAAAAAATTTAAAAGAACGTGAACTGTAATGAAAAAAACATATGCGAAATTATAATTAAATAATTAAATTATAAAAAATAAAAATGAAATAAAAAATTAAAAAATAAAGACTGAAATTGAAAAAATTAAAAAGAAAAAATTAAAAATATTAAAACACTCTTATGAACCTGTTAATTAAAAAAAATACTCATATAAAAAATATCAAAATACCTTCCAAAACAAAGCTTTTTATTTTTATTTTTTCTAAGATTAAAAGTATGTTTTCATCATATATGGATAATGGAAAAAAATGTAAACACCTTGGCCAGCAGTTTATTAAATTTTTTTTATCTTAAAATTAAAAAAAATATTTTTATTATTAAAAAACTTATGAAAAATTAAGAAAATTTTTAGTCAATTGTTATAAATTTTGTTGGCTCTGTTGATGAAAAAGTACTTTATTGTATAAAAAATAAAAAAGATACATACATCTTCAAAATAATTTTTTAATGACTAATAAGCTAATAAAAAAAATCAATAAACTTCCTATTTCAAAGCTTAAGTTTTTCTCACTCGAAAGTAAAAAAAAATAATTTTATTATATCAGTTCATAGTAAACTATCTGATAATTCATAATAAACCATCTGTAAAGTTATGGTGAAATTTTATTGCTTTTTAACTTTTCTTTTAATAAAGTAGGGGCAATACTAAATGTTTTTTTTCCCCTAGAAACAGGCTATTATAAAGTTGCCCATTCGAAAGGAGTTTGATTTATTTTAATTAAAAAAATATGATATTGATTAATTAAGAAATGGCTGGCTTAATTGAAAAATAAAAGTATTTTATCGAGTAGGTATATTTACGTCCAACAATTCGTAAAGCTTCAAAATGTTACATAGCTGTGATTAACAAAACAATTAAAAGAGATGGGTCGGTTTCACTGTCCAAACCAACTATTTTATTTTTATTTTATTTTATTTTCAATTTAACTCTTCTATAACCTAATTAAATAAAATCTTACTTGAAATTATGGATAAAATACCAAATTAAAAGATAAAAGACTAGAAAGTAAAGCAGGAAGAAAATATATATAACTCATTCAAAATTGATGATAATTTTTGTTTTTATCTTAAAGCTTATTTTATTCATTTTTAGATTATAAGTTAAAAAAATAAAACATAAACTCTTTAAAAAATAGTAAAGAAAGAGAAAAATGTTTATTTCTTCACTTTTTAATTATAAGACTTATAATTTTTTGTATTAATAAGTTTTATTTGATGAAAAAATTTTAATGGTAGTTATTTTGAACTTTTATATTACATAAAAAACAAATCAAGATGGGGAGCAAAACATTTCTTGATTTGATTTTGTATTTTTAAAACTTTGCTGTGTTTCTTGGGTAATTAATTTTTATGTGTTTTAACTATTCATTTAGTACTTTTATGTGAGAACAAGTGAAAAATTATATCTTTTAGCTAAAAAACCACATCCAGATAATGTGTAGTTTATTTTAATTAAATAATAAATTATTTATATCTTAAAAAAAATAACAAAACCCTATACACAAATTTAGGCATTTTAGACAACCTAAGTTAGCCTATATATCCAGATTTTTTTTCCTTTAATTTTTTTTAATTTTATTATTTAACTTTTTTGTTTTTTTATTGGAGTTTATAACAGAGTTGTAGATTTAATAAATTAAATTGTAACATCTTAGTCGATTCAATGCATTTCTATTTTAATATTTTTTAAAACAAGATGTCATATTATTTTTTTAAAAAATACTTAATTTATTTTTAATGAGATTTTATAATATATATTGATTTGGTTCATGTATAATTTATTTGTTATCATGATTAATTGATTTAATTTATAGGGTTGCAGATTAACTTGAATTAATCAAGATTGATGAAATATATTATTATTATTATTTTAATATTATCTTAATTGTTATTTTTTAAATCCAAACTATAATATTACATGTTCAAGTTGCTTTTATACCTATATATTTGGAGGGTTTTTTTTTGTTATATGAATCTTTTTTATGTCTAATTTTTTTTTTTTATCCTACTCGCATCATAGCATTATCATTATCCTAATTTAGTTACTAAGAAGGAAATGGTGAGACATGAACCCACGTGGTTGCCGTGTAAGCAAAGAGAGAAACAGAGTTCTTGGATCAAGAAAAGAAGCAAACAGCATTACAAGTGGTTGAGTTAAAACAGCGACAGGCCATGGAGTTGGTTAAACTCTGTTGGCGCCAAAAAATGCTCATTATTAATGAATGGATAAGATCCGATCCACTTCTTCTGCTACTGCTGATTGCTTACCTCATACCCTCTCTTTCTCTCCTTATAGTCTGTGAGATTCACACTCTCACATACAAACTGCACTGAAATCCCTACCTGTAAGCTGGACTCTCTCTGTCTCTCTGTTTTCTTCACTCCACACCTCATCAAGTAATTAAGGGAAGGTGGGTTTTACTTATTCTGTGTTTCTTCAGTCTGTTCACTTTCTTTTTTTAGTATGTAATTTTGTTTATATGATTTCAGCTTTTTTAGTTACATGCAGTATCTCTGCATGTTGTTTTACTGAATTGCTAATGTTTTTTATTTAATTTCGTGAATTGTCATAAAATATAGAGGTTTATGAAAAACAAAGGCCGTTTAAACAAGGTGGAAAGATTTAGCTGCTTGAGTACGCTCATTGAGGTCTATTTTATCCAAAAAGCCGAGTATCTTTAATTGACCAGAACTTGATTTTAATTTCTTCGAGTTGACTTAGGAAATAAGTACGTTTTCTGTTTAACATTTGGACAGTTTACATGTCTGTTCCTGCCATGTATGTAAAGATTTATCTTCTATAATTGTATACTGTGTATGACACTCAGGGCAATGCAGTCCTATTTTAGCTCAGATTTTTTTTTTTTATGGTTTTTAGAATTTCATTTCAATCAAATAAAAGAATTTCCTAAGCCATATTTTTCGTGCAGTTCAATTCGATCATTGGCATCTCCAAATCTTGGTTGCTTTGAGCGTATCTGAAGTCATGGCAACTGCACAAACAAAATGTTCCTTAGGGTATGGCAAGCCTCCTTGGATATTTAAAGGCAGGTAAGGATCCTACGAGCCTTAATTTAGTGTTTGTTTGGTCTATTCTGTGATGATGACTGGTATGATTAACATCATTCCCATTCATGAATGTTGTTTGATGATATGATTTCCATTTCAGAGCCTTGTACCAACTTCACCTTGTTAAATCCAAAATTGCTCGAGCATCCATTCCGAAAGAGTTCAGATTAGTTGAAGCATTTGGGTAACGTTTATTTTTTGCAACTGTTGTTTGAACTTTGAAGGGACAGTGGTGGGGTTCAGGATTCCAATTTTTACTGTTAACTCACATTTCTGCACTGCAGATACACCCTTGGAGGTTTTTTTCTAGCTAGCTATGAAGACAGTCCAGCTGGGGTTTTTGATGAGGTTCTATGGCATGACTTGATGAGCTAAAAAAGAAAAGAAGTAGGCATTTAGTTGATTCGTTGTGCACTATCAGAAATGACAGAAAATTTTCCCTTTTCTTTTCCCTTTTTTCCCTTTTCTGCAGCTTGTGGTGATTGCGGGAATTGTGTGGAACCCCCCAACATCTTGTGCGTAAGTTTAACGACCTATCTATTCTTGTTTATAATGATGAATTGTAAATGATTGTGGACAAGGAATCTTTTTTACTTGAAAAAAAGTAGCGAGTCCCAGAGCTGATGAAACTTGATTTGGGTCTTTCCATCTCAATTCCATAGAGGCAATCATATCAACTTTTTAAGCTATATTGAGCCAGTCAACTTTGAAACATGCATTTCCCTTCTAGTGCATTAACAATATTATTAGAGGAATCAACTAAGGCCTCACAATTGTTTTATATTTTTTCTTCAAGTTGCCTAAGCATCTGGTCAGGTTGCTGTGCTTTGATGTTCAGTAGCAATCTAATATAACAAAAGCAGAGACATGTTTTTCAACCTGAACTGAACCACCTGGTTTTCAACACAGTGAGCCTAAAGATTATTCAAATCTATCAACGCAATTTGAATCCTTTTAGCAGACTTTTTCTTTCTTGTTTCGACAGATGGGCAGCCAGGGTGCTTGTCAACAGTGGCGATGCTTGTGATCATGGACGAAAGGTGGGAGGTCAACAAATCTTTTGTGCATTTCTGAATTTTAACCTTTAATATAAATGAGTTCCATCTAGATGTTGCCTTATGGTTTGAATAGTTTGAAAAGGATACTGGCCTCTATTACTAGAGTGAGATATTTACAGACTTTTGAAGCCAAACGAACCAAAATTATATACAGGATACACATCCAGATGCAAATTGTTCTTTCTTTCTCTTTGTTTTTGTAGAACACGTCCTTGATAAAACTTGGTGGCTTGCATACTCCCCGAAGCTATAACTGATTCAGCTCTGACATTGGGACATTATGCATGATTATGATGCTTTTGTGCCCCTGAACTGGAGGCAATTGAAAGGAATTTTTCACATATTTCTGATCTTTCTTTCACGTTCTCTTGCAGGATGTAGGGCTTCCTAGTCAAGTTGCCAAGTTTTCCAAGGTGATTTTTGTTTGTGCACATATCTTGTGCATTTAAACTTCCAATTTCAACGTAAAAAATAAAGAAAATTAGGAAAAGATTGGTCCTTGATCTAGTGAATTTTATTTCATTTTAAAAAAATCCTTCCTCGGTATGCAGAAAATTCAAAATTTTGATCATTTGATTGCTCTGTACTAATCATCCGGTGTGTATGCTAATTTATTGCCTTGAACTATACTTAAAATAGCCCCCCTCTTTGATTATATTGCTTAGGATTATGCTACCCCCAATTTAGGAAAGCATTCAGTTGTTCCATAAATTCTCTTCTATGATGGGTTATGGTTATACCTTCACTTAATCAAACTGATGCAAGAAAGCATGGCATTGCAAATTCCATGAGAAGCTTACATCAAAGTTTCAGCAAATGTGAAGCTTGTTTTATGTTTTATAACGTGCTCTTTCGAAACAGAAAATCACAGCAATTCCTAGGCAAAGAAAGAGCAAATTTAATGGCATTCTAGACATGATTGGTTTGGGCACTTCAAGTTCGAGTACGAAGGATTGCATGGATGTTCTAGTAACTGAAACTAATGGTCCTTCCGCAACTGATATCTGCAACATCAAACTTACAACTTCTGGTGAGTATGTTACACTAATAATTGTTTCTAGCTACGACAAACATTATAATTAGCTGTTGTTAGTACAAGTTAGTTGTTTTTCAGTAAACAACCCTCTTTGCGCAAAGATCCCGTCATTGTCATGAGTTTTTCAAAATCGATTCAATTTTTCTCGTCAAGTGGAGTACTTGCTTGATCTTTGCAATAGCATTAAGAATTTCTCTCGGTTGTGTGTTCTGCATGGATGTATCATACAAATGAGCTTGGGGGCTTTTGTCTGAGCGATGCACTCTTTGTCATAGGCTGGTTTGTTCTGTTCAGTCTTTCTTGCTAACTTGTTAGTTTGACCCTTTCCATAGCTAGCTTCTGCTCATATTCAGAAAAATGGGCCAGGGTTATAGAAGCCTCAAGGTTAGACAATGTTTCAACTAGGAAATTAACCACTTCATGTCCGGTAACATTATTCCCCTCACAAGCCTTTGAGTTCCTCCTGGCACCTAGGAAATTAAGAAAAAAATAACAGCACCATTTTCCTTTTGTTGGCAGTGGTGTACTATGTATAAGAGCTTGTAAGTCCTCTTGGAAGCTTACTTGCTACCAGAGCTTGACTAAATATGAGAGGAAAGGGAATTGACTGTCTTCGCATAACCGATATCCCATTTTCCTTTTTTGGTTTTCTTATATTTAAGTTTTATTATCATGTTTCTGATTGATCTAATGCCTGGCTATGGACTTCTTAATGATAGTTCCTGGGGTAAAATTTGACAAATGGAAGGGGCCAGCAATCAAAATGTCACTACCAAGTTTTAGGTAAATTTTAATCTGAATTGGTATTTAAACAATCACCATGCATTATGCGTACGGCATCTTATATTCTCTACATGTTGTGAAATTGCAGCGGACGTACAGAGTATAACCCCAATCTTTTGAAATATTCTTGCAGTATTGAATGCAGGTATACCTTCATACTCTTGCAATTGTTTAACTTCTTGGATTTATTTTGGAGAGAGCACAGAAAGTACCTTAGCAGGTCCTTATCCAGTAAGAACAAAATCATGCCCGTAACCCAATTCTGTTGGATTCCAGTTGCTCTGATCATCCTAAAAAGTAATGCACTCATGTTTTTTCTCAAAGACCGGAGAACTCCAGAGCATACCGTCACATACATTCAGCTCCTATGAGTGTATATAAAACGATCACTTCACTTCTGAAATAAATTCATAGCAAAAATTTGTAGAGGACAACATCAGTGATTGATTTCAAATCTGACACATTTTGAGTTAATGATATTGAGTTAAGCTCTGAGGTTTTAATATATGATTTATATTATTTTTTAATATATATTTTAAAATGAAAGTTATTTGAAATTGAAATCTGTATAGGTCCGTACCATTTTGTGTTTAATTTTTATCAAATAAATAAAAATAGTGAGATTTAAACTTGTGATCACTTGGTTATCAAGATTTTAATATTATGTCAAAAAATCATCTCAACTTAATAGCTTAAACTATTTAATAAAATTTTAAAATATAATTTATATTATTCTTAATATACTGGTAGGGTACGAGCAGTGCAGGCAGCAAAAGTGTCAGGGCCATCTTCACCACCGAAGCACGACACTGAAGAATCACAGAGCCAGCTTAAATTGAAAACTGTGGAACCCAGTAGTAGAGAACTCCTGGATGAGGGACAGGACTTGAGCATATCTGTAATGCTATCAAAACCAATACTAGCTTTGGAGCTCAGTTGTTTGAAAATGCAGGTTGAAGCACCAGTTGTAGTTTCCCAGCATTAGTCGCAGATTAAGAGCATTATTTTCGTTCGAAAAATCCATTAATGCAATCAATACCAATTCTGTATTGATTTTTACATTATTATTATTATTATTTGTAAATGAATAATAATGGTAGTAGCAAGTTGTAATTACTGTAAACAGAGGCAGTCTGGTAGAGCTAGGATGTTTTCTTAACATGCCAAGCAAATTCATGATTGTTTTTTCCAGAAATTATTAACTAATACTAAAGAGATGGGTACTAAAGAGACGGGGTATAACCCAAGGTGCTTCACCTCCATTTTTGTTTTTTTCATTTTTTAACTTTTTTTTTAAATCATTTACAGTCTGGCAGAGATAGGATTAGGTGTGACATGCGTGATTGGGAAATATTTTCACAAGTGAAGAATAATATATATATATATATATGGATAGCATAAGCAAAGAAAAGTTGATTAGACCTATCTTTTAAACTAAAAAAAAAAACCCATCCATGTTGAACTTAAATTGCTTTGCATGTCAACAAAATTATACATGTTGTATTTCAATAAACATCTCAGTGGAATCAAAAATATATATAGTGAAAAATTAAAATTATTACCCAATAATTAGAAGAAATTAAAAATTCTAAAAATTAACATTAGTTATAAAAATTCAGATAAAGAGTTAATTATACTTAAGAAAAGAATAATTACTCGTTTAAAATATTATTTTTTATGAAAAATTGTCTTTACTACATGTGTTTTTTTAAATGTTTTTATTACCATTAATTATCATAATATTATTTTATTTTATTTTATTTATTATTATATAAAATAATTTTTACATCGGTTCTAAAAATAAGAGATACTTTAATTTGATTTTTAAAATTTAGAATCAATCCTAAAAAAAAGGCAAAAAAAACTTTTGATATCGGTCCTAAAATAAAAGACTTATCAAAATAATTAAAAAAATAAATTAAAGTTAAAAAAAATAGCGAAATGATGCCATAAAAAAATCATTTTGATAAAACCAAAAAGAAAATTTTTAAAAATAATTTACACATACACACACAAAAACGTATCTACTATTTAGAGTGTGTTTAGTATTATGAAAATCATTTACAGTCTGGCAGAGATAGGATTAGGTGTGACATGCGTGATTGGGAAATATTTTCACAAGTGAAGAATAATATATATATGGAAGCATAAGCAAAGCAAAGTTGATTGGACCTGTCTTTTAAACTAAAAAAAAAATAAATCATCCATGTTGAACTTAAATTGCTTTACATGTCAACAAAATTATACATGTTGTATTTCAATAAACATCTTAGTAGAATCAAAAATATATATCGTGAAAAATTAAAATTATTACCCAATAATTAAAAGAAATTAAAAATTCTAAAAATTAATATTAGTTATAGAAATTCAGGTAAAGAGTTAATTATATTTAAGAAAAGAATAGTAACTCGTTTAAAATATTATTTTTTATGAAAAATTGTCTTTATTACATGTGTTTTTCTAAATTTTTTATTACCATTAATTATCATAATATTTTTTTATTTTATTTTTTTATTATTGTATAAAATAATTTTTACATTGGTTCTAAAAATTAGAAATACTTTAATTTGATTATTAAAATGTAGAATCAATCCTAAAAAAAAGGCAAAAAAAAACTTTTGATATCGGTCCTAAAATAAAAGACTTATCAAAATAATAAAAAAAGATGAATTAAAGTTAAAAAAAATAGCAAAATGATGCCATAAAAAAATCATTTTGATAAAAAAAAAAAATTTAAAAAATAATACACACAAACTCATCTACTACTTAAAGTGTGTTTAGTATTGTGGTAGCTGTTGTGGTTGTAGTTGGAAAAAGTTATTTTATAAAAGATACTTTTAGTTAAGATTCAATACATATGATAAGGATTATAGTTTTTTTTTGTTTCTTAAGAACGCAAAAATATTAGGTAAAATATAATCAGGAACAAAATTGAGATTGTGATCAAATTCTGTAAATGCTACATCATCAAGTGATCTCTGTTCAATTTATATAGTGTCATTGAATAATGTTAAACACTAGTTTTTTTTTAATAAAATACAATTAAAAAAATAAAAAATATTTTTTATTTTTTATTTTACTGAATCGGACCCATTTCCATACATTTTAAATTTTAGACCGAAATCGGTCCGGTCAAAACAGTGCAACATGCTGCACTATTCACACTAATTAATTAGCATGTTATGTTTATGAAGTAGCAGAGTTAGCAACGCGAGAAGAGAAGCATATAATTTCTATTTCAATAAAATAACATTTTTAATGCAGATAATAATAATGTCCACATATAAAAACTATAACTAATTTTACAATCAAATATCATATTATTATTGTTATATAATAAATGCAGCCATTAAGGGCATTAATCGCATCTACTACTTAGAGTGTATTTTGTGGTAGCTATTGTAGTTGTGGTTGGAAAAAGTTATTTTATAAAAAGTACTTTTAGTTAAGATTCATTTGGTATTTATGTATGTTTGGTTAAAATTATGGTTGAAATTATGATTGAATAAAAAGTAATTTAATGTGTTTAGTTAAGTACATGATTTTGAAATTGAGGTTATAAAATAATTTTAAAAAATAGATATTAATATTGATGGTTTTTAATTTAAATAATACTTTATATAAAATATTTTTTATTATTTTATTAAACTATCTATAATTCCATCATGTAAAAAATACATATGATAAGGATTATAGTTTTTTTGGTTTCTTAAGCACGCAAAAATATCAGGTAAAATATAATCAGGAACAAAACTGAGATTGCAATCAAATTCTGCAAATGCTACATCATCAAGTGATCCTGTCTAATTTATATAGTGTTATTGAATAATGTTAAACACTAGTTTTTTGAATAAAACATAATTAAAAAAATAAAAAATAATTTTTATTTTACTGAATCTGACCCGTTTAAATACATTTTAAATTTTAAACCGAAACTGGTCCGGTCAAATTAGTGCAACATGCTGCACTATTCACACTAATTAATTAGCATATTATGTTCATGCACTATTCACACTAATTAATTAGCATATTATGTTCATGAAGTAGCAGAGAGGCAGAAACGTAAAGAGAAAAGCATGTAATTTCTACTTCAACAAAACAATATTTTTAATATAGATAATAATAGAGCCTACACATAAAAATCATAACTAATTTTACAATCAAATATCAAATATCATATTATCATTAATTTTATAAACGCCGTAGCCGCTTAGCTAAACAGCCTCATACTTTGAATCCACGCTAATTTAAATGAAACAAATCAATCCATTGGCCCATGCAAGTTCATATAAGGTATTTGTGAGCGCAAGCCCATGCCAAAAGAAGAAGAAAAAAGTCAGCCCACTTTACACACAAAGGCCTAGAATCGAAATACAAAACAACCCATAAAAGAAACGAGCTCAACAAGCCCAATTAGATATCCTTATAAAAGCCTAGTCCAATAAAATTAGTGTAGTAGCCCATATTCATATTCTGAAGATAAAACTAATTAATTTCTGAGAATTTGCCCAGCATCCATTTCGTTCTTGTTTATTTCTTTTTCATAACTTTCTATTTTTCCTAACAACGCAAAATGGGACAACCGAAGATAGATTTTTGACAGAAGAACATGAATATTTAAAGGAAGAGATTGATGGCCAACATATCTTGAAAGGGAACATAATTAAAACATTCTAGATTTCTTGTACTCTGCAGATAAAAAAAACAAGCTTTTCTTTTGAAAGAAACAACAATTCATGCCATTGTACTATGATTCATACTTTTGGGGGTGGGGTGTAAAAAGATTATTGATCAAACTTTCTAGTAATGGAACACATTAACTTGAATTCAAATTGTTCTTTGGTTTTTGCTAAACCTACATATTATTAAGTTTCCTTAACAGTATATAGAAGATGGTCGGATCATAGCGATTCTAATTTTTTATATCAAGTATAAAATCTCACATATTCATACATCAAGATCAAGAAGAAAAAACTTATGAATCAAATGTACTTTATATAAAGGTTTATTATAAAGAACAATATCATCATACAAAAATAGTTGAGCCTGGTTCTGTAAGACTAATCCTTTTAGAGTGAACTTTAAACTGGACTTATAGGAACAAGCTATGCAACTACCTTTGTGCTTATTGATACTATCAAACTAGTATTCTCTTTTCTTCTTCTTTATATATATTGTTGTTTCTTGCTCGCTCTTTTTTTCTCTTAACCTTGTCCCCTCCCTCGTTTGACTTGCTATCCTTTTATTGATGAGCTCAATCTTTCTTAGTAAGGAAATGGATCGCTGTTTTTATTAACATCTCATCTTTGTAGATAATCTTGGAATCAACCTGGTTATTAGCCATTGATTGCTATTTCTTTGACTCATGGAGAGAGGATGAGATTTTGAAATCCAAATCTTGCATCAAAATGGAAAGGTTGGTTGCTGGTATTGAAGGGAGGCTAATAGAGTGGGCACAGAATCTGTAATGGATTTTGAGAGTTAAAGCATGATTTCTTGTATCGTGATTATAGATAACATATCAGAGAAGATTTTCCTTGTTTGATATGGGGAGATAGGATCGAATTTTGAAAGTTTAATCTTGCATCAAAATCGAAAGAATGGCTGCTAGTCTTGGAGGAAGGCTGATTAAGTGAGAAAGTTTGACATGAAATTTGTAGTGGATTCTAAGAGTTAAAGCTTGATTTCTTGTATCGTGATTGTAGCCAACATATCAGAAAATATGTTTCTCTTATTTTTGTTCCATCAAGAGAATCAATCGGGACCAAAACTAGGCTTCAATGTCGCACGAGGATCAGTTGTTTCTTCCTTCCTTTTCTGCCCAGAAATCTGCATATGTCATGAATGAAACATCGTTGTTTCCTTCCTATCTTCATCAGCATGTTCTTCTCTTTTTAAGTAAAACACATCGTTTCATTTAAAGTGAAACAATGTTGTTCTTGCTCCTCTAACAGAATTACGTAATTGAACTAGATCAAATTTCATCATAGTCCCTCCATTTTAACTCATTTTGCTCCTTGGTCCCTGGTTTTTCAATTTCTTATTTTTGTT